GTCCTCAATCCATTACTGGCAGCCATTGGAGTCACTGAGGGGGCTCTTATAGTGACCGTAATGGAGGTGTCAGAGCTCCACAGCAATACAACTATGTGCCAAGTACATAAATGCCACAGAGCCCCTCCCTACAAATGTGGATGGGATATTTGTAGGATGTTACTGATGGCTCTTATCTGACATCAAATTTCTGTTTCTACAGGCTGGGGACTAATGACAGCATTTAGAAAATTGGGCAGACTAGATGGGCCGACTGGTTCTTATCTAACATCGCATTCTAGGTTGGGTGTTTCTGTAACTGGCTGAATTTGGTGTGTGGGGTTGGCTCCCTGTAATTGTTTAGTGGCTCAGTATGGTTTGGTGTAAGGTGTGCCTGTCTTATCCTAGGTGACTGGCTATGCAGCTTTCTTGGTAACCTCTGCCCCACATTCTATGGAAACTTCTATTTGAAGTAGAGCCATGGAGGCCTGGCAGACCCCGAGTGACACATCAAAGTAATGTAAAACCATTTTCTTACAACAGGATGGCACTCCTCACACCATAACTACAGCCTGTTGGAATTTTCCTTTAACCTAAAATAAGTGACGGATAAGCATTTTAGAAAGTCAAATCCAAAATTGCAGAGTTTAACCTTGTCCTATTTGGAACACAACTTAATTTGTTTCCTTTTCTTTCAGAATTGAATATGGTTGGGATGGTCCCCAAGAAGGATGCCCCAGGAGTGGATTTTTGTGGTGTTGACCAATATTACTACATTGTCCGATCTGACCTCGGCTGCTACATGCGGTCAACAAACTTCAACAAGGGTGAAGATCTAGTTGTTTACAGTCTGCATTTCTCTTGTAGAAATGGAGACCATTACCTGGCCCATGAAGATGACCTATTCTATATCATTAAGGGCACGAATTATCGCCGTGTGACCAACATGAACACAGATGAAGGTGCTGTAGTCTACGCTCTACATCCCAGCTGCCGGGGTGGTGATCACTATCTCTCTGCCTTCGGTCACTTCTACATCATTGACCAGAGTCGAGGGGTTTATCGTAAAACCACAAATATGAACACCTACGAGGATGGGGTGGAGTACACCCTGCATCCCAATTGCAGGGATGGGCTCTACTACTTTGGTGTCAAAAACTACTATTACTTTGTGAAGCCTCACGATGAATGGGGGGTTCAGTATTACAAATGCACAGACTTCTCCAAGGATGAGAATGGTGAGTCCTTTTCCATAAATCCCACTGTCACAAACTTTGTCCCTGGGGGCTTGGCCCTTATTCGGGGACCCTCATTTGGTGTGTGGGAGTGCATCAAAACCATCACCAATGACTCGCAGTCTCCGATCACCTGGACAAACAAGATCAACAAGAAGGTTGGCTATGAGAAGGAGAAGATGTCCTCCATAGAACATAACTGGAACGTGTCAGCCACAGTGTCTGCAGAGACCGGTGGTCTGAGTGCCCTTGTCGTAAAGAGCCAGTTCTCTCTCAGTACTTCATATGGAGGATCCAGTGTCAACACAGAGAGGGAGAACTGGAATGAGGTAACAGAAACTGAGGAAACCATCAGTCTGACCGTGAAGCCCAATGAGAAGATCTATGTTTGGCAGTACAAACTGGGTCTGGGTAAAGAAGCTGTGCTGTTCTGCAGGGATATGAAGTTTGATGATGATCCAAAACCCCCAACTGAGAACCCTCTACCACCAGCTAACTAGTTCACAAGACCTACATAGTACAATGTTTCTAGAATTTCTATGGCATAGAATCTTTGTGCATAACCAACATAACCTATAAAACTAGATGGCTTTCTAGTGCCAGATTTATTGACCTACAGACTGTTAATAGTTTTAGTAATGTGTAACTCTTAGACCTGCTAGTATTTCCTGTTGTGACTGTACACGTGCTGTCCTGATATAAAAAACATTTCTAGGTGTCTACATTGAAGTTGCCCAATAAATTGTAATGTTGGTTACTATAATATGAAGACTATTGCCTTTACACTTGTGTATGGTAAATAAATGATCTTGCATCACTACCTTGAATTTTGTTTTTTATAACTTTATTTTGCATTCTTTAGCAGTAGGGTAACTTCCTGGGGTCTGGTGGGTACTGGGTAGAAAATGCAGTGTTGCTGTAGGCTGCTCTTGTGCCACACATATATTGTAAGACTGCTTTGAAGAAATTAATTGCCATCACTGCATGAAACGACTGCTAGTGGTGTACTAACTAAAACTTACAACTGGGGATGAGGAGCAGAAAATAGAATTCCATTATAATCAAAACTGCTTGGGATCTGTCTCAACTGTTCATGTTCTAGCCAGTAGCTGCTCTAGAATTTCTGAGGCCTTAGTTGAAACTCCAACATGATGCCCCCACAAACTCCTGAAGGGGGGGAGGGCCTGAAGGGAAATAGTGGATGAGCTGTAGTTATATTGAAGGGTTCTTGTGCAGCGTTGGCTACAGAGCTAGTCTCTGTATTCATTGTTCAGAGGCTTGCAGTGGCTCTGCTCCCAATGCAGCTGAGTTGTAAGCTCTCACTGTTATGGCATAATTTGTAAATAAAACTACTTATACACTATATTGCAAGGCATGGTTACATAGCCTGTCAGTCGTTCGTACTTCAGTGGTGGTGTAAAAGGGAGATTAGAAACTTTGAGCAAAAAGTCAAATTTGAGAAAGTTGCAGATGTGTCATAGACCCTACCCTACATATTCTCTCTATGGTCTTTCATTCTATAACACACTCAAATTTTTTTTTGCCAATAAAGCGTGCATTAGATTCAAGTAAAAACAGTATGTTGCCCAATGTAATGTGGTGTTTAGATTTTCACACTTGCGCTGTAGACCCAAACGCACTAATTAGGTTAAAATACAGTGACGCAGTCATGAGACAAATGCAGACAATAACGTGTTTGTCTGGCATTGTTGGAGGGGTTGATGTGATGGAGTGTCAGGTTTGGGGGGATGAGTGGGACAAGAACTGGTGGGGTTAATGTGATGGTGCAATAGAAGGAGTGTGGCAGTCAAGGGCAAGTGGGTTTGGTATGGTTGGAGGGAAGGGGTGGGCAGGGCTGCCATCAGGGGGTGACAACCATAACAGTTGTCACGGGCCTGGGGGGCCCAGGCCCCACCTATAGCGGCAGAACTGCCACCAGTGGGGTCACTTCCTCCCAGCTCACTCTGCACGGGAGGAGCGCGCGCCCGGCAATTAAGAGGGAGAGCCAGTCGACTCCCAGTCCCATTAACCCCAGCCACCCTCCTGCAAAGACCAGGTAAGAAACAGGAGCGTGGCTGGAAAATGAGCTGTGTGTATGAATGTCAATGTGTGTAGGCCAGTATGTCATTATGACTGTGTGCATGGATGTCAGTGTCTGTCTGCATGCTTTCATGTCATTATGTGTGTATGTTAGTATGTGTGTCTGTTAGTGTGTATCTGTGTCCTGTTTGTTTGTCTGTGTGTATTCCTGTGCGTGGGACCCTGAGCTCAGTTAGGGGCCCCAATATTTCTGGGGGTGGGTGACTGGATTAGAAGAGGTTAATGTGTGTGTGTGTGTGTGTGTGTGTGTGTGTGACAGCAGTTTAAGAGAGGGTGACCGTGTGGGGAGGCTTTGACTTTTTTTTTTTTTCTTCCAAGTGATCAATTCCTTGGCGGGCTTGAGATCTGGTATGCACCTGGAGGCACTGACTCTCTGCTTCGGGCAGACTAAGTGGAGGTGCCTCGTAGCTGGAGGCACACAGGGCAAGCCGGCGTGCCCCTCCCACTAATGGGCACTCTGTCACAGACTGAGAACCCAAAATGTTAGTCTGCCCTTGGGTGACTTGGACGTGTCACCTACATTGCCTAATTAAAGAGCCACCTCTGATGCTGAACACTCCCCATAGAGATGCGTTAATTCAGTGCATCTTTGAGGAGATGCTGATTGGCGCAGAGTGGCGTATTTTTTTCCTTAGCCATGGTGGTGATGACTTTGTTCACTTTAAGGACGGGTGTGATGTCACAGTATTTGAATTATAGAACATGCGCCAATAAAATGGGCAACGTCTAATATAATTCAGGGGAAAATACAGCTAACAGGATTTCGGCCTGCGCGAACCAGCAGAGGGAGCTGCTCACTGGGCCGAATGGTAAGTACTCCCTGTTCAGGTTGTGTAACCACATGGATCGCTCGGGCTGCGCAACTGGAGGAAGGGAGCAGAGCGGGCGCCAGGAACAGGTAAGTCCATGACCCTACAAAAACACAATAGGGGTGGATCTGCAAGGGAGAATGAGAAGAAAGGTGCAACATAGTGCTAAACTGTGTTAAATTAGTGTTAGATACAATTGGCCACTCACTTTGAATGCCACGTTCAAGCTTTCATAATTTTTGATGGTATCAGTGAATTTCTCATGTTGCTGTATAGCTTCAATAACGTTGGAAAAAGAGTGCAAAAATATAGTGCAAATACCAATAAAGTGCAAAGACCATTTTAATCACTTAAATATAAGTTAACAACAGCAAATGAGGTAGTTAAAATACCAGCCCACCAGTCCTATGCGTTTCGTCCCAGCAAGGGACTTCCTCAGGCACAAGAAGCTGTGTAAACCAACAGTACAACAAAGTGCAATAAATTCCCTCCTTTCCCCTTTTTAACTCCCCTTAATTATTCTTGATGTGTTCCTATTGGTTCTTCTGTTCTTTCAGGTGTTCCCCTTCCTGCTGACGTAATCACGCTCAAAACTTGATGATGTCAGACGTGAGTTTCATCCTTTTTCCTGATGGGGAGATTTTCCATGTCTGGATCGATCTTTAATGACGTCACCAAGCTCCATGCGCTGTGTTGCCTAACGTCATGCATTCCATCCTCGGATCAGGAACGGAACGCATATAGCCAGTCCTCAACAAGTTTTCATGTAGAAATGGAGATAGAAATTAAAGAAATGGGAGGGGTTTAATGTTAAAACATGATGCAAAAGGTTTCTAATATTACTGAACGTAAAAATACATTTTATTTAAACACATCTAAATACCTAAATCCACATCCACATCCATATAAAATACAATACAATAAGCTAAATTACAGTTGCATGTGCATTTTATAATACAAAACTATAAAAAATGTGTTGTAAAAGATATATGTAAATATTATATCCATATATGCACATAAACAGCTGGATACAGAGCTGTATGTGCAAACTATCTAAACAAAATTGATATTTTAAAATTAGTATTGATATGTATAAATAAAACTAGTACAATCTATATAATCTAGCCTTTTTATACGTATCTATATAAGTGTGCATAAAAGGAGAGTTACTGGGTGTGCCCAAACCTACTTTTTGCTCCAGTGAGAAATCTTTGTGAGACAATTGCATCGTTTCAGATTAGTTCCACCGAGCTAACCAAACCAGGAAGTAACAGGACCGCTTGTCTGATACCATTGGGCTGTATCCAGGCTCATTTATAAAAGTTCCAATTTCTATTAAAAATCTGCAGTTTTTGTAAAATTGAAAAAAAAAAAAAAGAGGACACGCTAATCACACATAAAGCATTTCAGCAAGCTAAAGTGCTACAGGTCTATCCTATTTGATATCATTTACAGTTAAATAACACAATGAACAAACATGGCCCTCCTTCATAAATGTGTGTTAAAACATCTATTTGGTGATACTTTATGTACTTGTAAATTAATTAAACTAAAAAAGCATAATATATTTTTTCTTCTTTAAAATCATATAAAATATATATATAAAACAAAAATAATGCATTTTTTTGTTAAGGTAATTTTATATGTTTTGATATATACTAAGAGGTACACACATAGGTGATTAACCCCTTAAGGACACAGCTTCAGAAGCTTGTCTTACGCTTAATGACACAAGCAATTTTTGCATTTTCTTGCTGTATGCGTTCAATTGCAATTTGCATCTCTCTCGTTTATTGCACCGACACATATTATATACTGTTTTTTAAAGGACATAAAGGGCTTTAATTTGATGTAACATATATATATATAAATGCTTATTTATTATTTAAAAAATACAGAAAAATGCAAAAAAAAGAAAAATTTTGTGTTTTTTGTACAGTTTTTGCAATAATAATGTGTGCCTAATTAGTGCAGGTTAAAGAAAGTAATTAAAAATAAATTTATTTAGTTGTTCTGATTTACAAAATATATAATGTGTCTGGGATTTAAAGTTTTTTTTGGTAGTTACAGGTCATAAAGCACAAGGAGTAAAATAAACTTTTAATGTAGAGCGATTTTAGAATTTTGTATGTTTGTCTTGTAAGCTTAATAGCCATAAAAGAAAACAAAATTGCCACACAAAAGTATATATTTATATAAAGTAGACATCACAGGCTATTGTCCTAAGGTTTTTTTGACACTTTCTAAGTAGCCATTTCACCGCCAATCTCTGCTAAATATTGGAGTAAAATTTAGTTTTTTGGAGTTTTTGGCACACAAACTTATAACAAAGAACTTCCCATGTATATTTTGTAAAGTTGGTGTGTGCTATTCCTGTACAAAGTTTTATTTTGTGTTCAGTTACTTCTGCTGAGTACAACGATACCCCCATTGTATGTCTTTGGCACTATTTCGTGAAGCTACAGTGCTATATAGGAGACCTGTCCGTTTCAACATTTACAGTAGAATTTTGAGAGGCGGATTTAATGGGCCTATGCTTCAATTTGGGGTATTATAGCAGTTTGACTGTTCAAAAAAAACCCACAAAGGCCTACCATTTATAAAAGTAGACACTCCAGGGTATCTCATATGGTGCATATTGTGCCTTAACATGCCCCCATTTTTTCACCAATATATGCCAAAGTATGTGGTAAAAAATAATTTTGGGCATTTTTTACATATATTACATTTTTGCTGGGCATTTTGTACATTTCATATGTGCCACTAAGTTCAAAC